AGCGTTATTCGGCGAAGCATTTGGCCGTTGTTATACTTTTAAACTTCTCGTATCTATCTAAATTTAAGGGCCGATTAGTACAAAATATATCTTTATAAAAATTGGCTATTTACCAAGACACGCCCTTACATCTTTTATATAATAATATAAATTTTATAATACTACACATTTTTTAAATAAAATGTCGATGTCTTTCTAAATTAGGTGACTAATTTTCTTATTGGAAGTTGAAAAAATGTACAATTGTAGTCTCGTACAGTTGTCGGCCCAGTATTGTTTGGACGTTAGATAGAATACTGAACAAATTATATCAAAACTTAGGTGCTCTTGTAAGGAATAAAGCCGTGTGAAAAGATACTTGTATTTTATTACTCTTTAATATTAATAGAAGAGAAATGATAATAGGAATATCAAAGTTCTCAATCGAAATGTAATACTCAAATATATTATCCCACAATATTTTCTGACACATATTCTTAAAATAACATTGCAATACAAACAATAGCACTGTATCAATATTTTTGAGTACGACATCGAGTTTATTTTGACATTTAATTTAATATTATAGATGAATAAATATATTATTGGAAATATCTAAATAATATATTTTACATTATATATATAATATTATATCATACAATCTATAATTTTTACGCACACGAATAGTGCAGTTTTATTTCTGCGAACATGTTTTTTTTATTTTATTTTTAAGCAATATGATTATTCTGTAACTGTTACACGAAGTAGGAACAATGCAATACATTCTAACTTAGTTCGCTAAGCGTAGTTAGATATTTAATTTTAATAATTTACAGCCGAGATTTTTTTCTATTTTTCATCCTACTTATGCGTTTCAGACGACATTCACTGAACCGAAATGTCTCTAAAGTTTGAATGCACTGGGAAAAGCGTTACAAATTATGTTAATAAACGGTTAGAAAATAATTATAGTTTATTTTACGACTGTACCTAGTACGTACTTTATAAAATTATTTTTTATCCCAGAGCATTGCTCGTTTGTGTAAAGTATTTTATGTAGATTAATATCTTATCAGCCGTCCACGCTTTTATTTTTTCGCTGCATTTTCCCAGTACATTTAAATTGTCTAAAAGATAATTATATTTAATTGGTATCGTAATACATAGTGTTCTAAATCATGGGCATTGATTTAAGATGCATTTAAATAATGTGATCTTGTAGTATTTTGGGGTTTAGTAAAATTCAAAAATATTTGCTATTAAATATAGTATAGTAAAGAAATTAGTTAAAGGTTTATATTAATGAAGAATGTTTTTGAATATTACAAACGCTAAAGACTTTAATTATCAGAATTAAGTTGACCTATGTAATTGTACACATGTATTGAAGTGGATTCCTATTTTTTGTTTTGACAATACGCAATAAATGGATGTGTTATGCTTCTCCAAATAATCAAGTTTTTAATAACAATATTGGTTTTATTTTATACCTCCAACTTTTAAAATTACTCCCTGTGTATCACAGCTTTTTACAAAATAATTGTATAATATTCCGTCATGTCGCAAAGTGATATTTTTTCTATTGATATAGATAATTACAGCAAGTTAGTTTATATACTTTTAGACATATTTAGGCCTCTAACAGAGAGACTATCTACTTCTATAGATATACCTAGTAGGGCTTTTTCTTTCAATTATTATGGTATAAAATGTCATGTAATAAACGGTAAGTATTATCCCGGCAGACTGTCGGTATTGGGCGAGTCCACCGGGCGCGCCAAACCGCGTATTTTTTCCTCTCTGGACATCCAACGGAGGTAGGCCGCGAGGCAAACACCAAAAATTTTGTTTTTCAAGTTTTTTTTTGTTTTTTCTCGAATTTTGGTGATTTCCGGAGCTCTGTGATATTGGTGTGGATGACGAAATTTTCTTTTTTATTGACATGATAAAAATATTTTCGACTTCAAATGGTAATAAAATATGAGAAAATGTGCGTCTTAGCTTAAATGGGCGGTTGAAGTACTTTTTTTTTTTTGTAATTTGTCTTATAAAACATAGATTTCTAGTCCACGTTACATAAAGTGAATTCACTCAACAATGACTTGGTCGAGAAAAAAGGAACATTCACAAAAAACAAAATGTTTTGTTAGCTTGGTCGATGCAAATACATATTTACACCATTGACTAATGTCAATAGATACAAAAACAGGATGTTCATTTATTTTCATAGACATTTTTACTATCATTTCACGTCCGCACCAATATTCCTGCATCGCTCTGCGAAGGGTCTAAAAAACAGTTTGTGTGTGTTTTAATACCGTAGTCCAGCCGATTTGTACTTACATTTTTAAACCAAGAAAAGCATGACATTAATCCAAATTTTTCAACTTGATACTTATTGCATGCCAGGTTAAAAAAAATAAACATATTTTATCTTCCATTAGATAGTTTGAATTTAATTTTTGATATTTCCTATTTGTGTATATTTTTATAAATAAAAAAAAAGTTATTTTTTTATTCTCTTCTACAGTACTAAATTGGATGGATTACTCGTTTTTTCCCCGTGAATAACAAAATTTAACAAGTTTTTTTGAATTTTCTTCTTTGACTACTTAACTGACGTTTTAACTCATAATCTTAGCTATTAAACAATTATGCTGCATTTTTTTCTAAAATAACAATATTTTTCTATAGATTTTTACCAGGATATATTTTTTATATTAAATAAAAACATCTCTGCATGCATTATAAATTACCACATTAAAATAAACGGCGTTTTCATTCATAAAAATATATGTTAAGGCATGATTGCGTTTTTTATTTTTCATTTTTAGTGCCGCTAAGGTAAGTAATAATAGGAAACCATTTTGACAAATCGCGGGAATGCTTAATATGTGCTCAATGTCGCTTGCCTATTGTGCTTGTGTTTTTGAGATTCCCTTTTCTTTCAAAATGCACTTCTGTTAACATTGATCATGTTTGTAATACTCTGGTATTCGAAATCCAACCAGAAATTTTAAAAATATCGTTTTTAATGAGCTAAAAGCGACTACAGCGCCATCTTCAATGGCAATTTTTTAATATTTTGCTTAGTTTTTTTCGACTGTTGTTATTTAACTCAGTATGCGTTTTTTATTACTATTTTTTTTTCTTATATTTTAAATAAAATGCTCCAATTTAAATGTTACCAGCGTATAACAAATGTGCAATGTATATATGTACTCGTCGCCACACCCGTGCCCCTAGTGTTTAGCATTAGTTTTATGTTTTTCTGTTTTTAGGCCATTGGACGGTACCACCCCGAAGCATGCGGTAGGCGCTAGTCCACAAACCATGCTTGGGTAATTATCCTAGTTCATTATATCCTTTGTTTGTTTACTGTCCAGCTGTGAAGCGCTCTGTGTATCCCTTCCTAACATTTTAGATGCAGTATCAAGAAAATTACTCGATATTTTTTGGTCGTTTTAGATTTTTTGTTGAATGTTTTTTTTTAGTCTAATTGTTACAAGTTGTGTTGCTAATTTGCTTGCTCGATTGTTTAAAATAAATAAGAAAAGAATCACATATTTTTTTGGGTAAACATAATTTTTTTTTTTTTTTTTTGTTGTTTATTTCAACAACCGAGCAACCAATGCGCTTTCATACTAACAGCGCTTCATTTTTCATTTAACTTATAACATTTTTAATTTACTTCTCTCCTATATCAGTAAATGGTAATTAATTTAAAACACTGCACTAGTTATTTAGAGTGATCGTCTGAAAACGTAGTTTTGATTATTTTTTAATCAATACTTTTATTATTTGATAGTGTCAATCTGATATAGAAATTAGGTTTATTGTCAGGTTTAGATACATTTGTACTTAGTTATAAGGCTTAAATTACGGGGAGGGGACGCATTGGGTAATTCGTCGTGCATTATATGACGGAACGCCCGAATCGCCGTGTATCCATTAACAAGGCCTTATTCTAGTCCAATAACTAGGCTTCGCTTGGCATGACCTAATACAGTATCTTTGCGTGGGCAAACGCAATAATGGACCTCGGCCCAGGCCCAGAGCAGGAGAAGGAACGGTGTTTTTTAGTCAGTAAGAGTCAGAATCCCAGGGCATGGGAAGTCATGTGCCGAAATCTGTCAGAAAAATAAAAATATAATTTCTTATTATATTCACAAATAGGTAGGTTTCTAAATAAATACTCAATCCATCCAGTAGTTCGGAATTTTGTCTTTTTCAGTCATATAAAATGTATCTTTTGCTCCAGAAATATTTTTGGTTATGCATTATTACATTGTTCTGTCGTGTATAATTTTTTCTTTATTCTTTTTACACTAATTTATCAATATAAGCATAGTTACTGTTTGCAGGCTTCCCAATGTTTTTAATGGGAAGAATGGCTTTATATTATTAGGATTTGGACACAGGATCACCTATCTATTGACACTTAGAACCCAATATTATATGAGAACGATAATTGTTTTCAGCATCTTTTATGAAACTTCAAATTATTATGGAGTCTCTCTATAAAACCCCCATGTTTATAGGCATAAAGTCTCATAGCCATAATATGAAACATGTAATGTGTCCTCACATTAATTAAATTTGACAACAATTGTTTAAGACCACTTTAATATCTAGTCATTAAATGACTTATTATGTTTACAATTTTCCATAGTCTATCATGGAATGAGAGACATTATTATACATGTTAATGGTCCCCTTTGAAAGTAACGTACGCTATAAAAGGCTAATTACGGAGTACCCGTATTAATGTACCACTTCCCCGGCCCAGAGCAGGAGAAGGAACGGGGTGGTTTTTAGTCAGTAAGAGTCTGACGCTCCCCTTTACCCCACCCAGGGCTAGAGTAGAGAAAGGAATAAAGACAAACCATTTATTTGATGATTTTCCTCCTCAAAAAAGCTATAAATACACAGGTATAATTGCTAATGAACAAATACATTTCGCATTAATTGTTGATGTTCATTTCACTTTTCTAATGGTTTGTATACAATGGTATGTACAGGCAAGGAACCGGTAATGAGGAGCAGGTCAAGCCACGTGTACTCCGATTTACGTGGAGTATGAAAACCACATCCTCCCGCGACCCCAACGAAATCATGGCGGAGATCCGCAAGGTACGTATTGACCATTCACGTCGATAGTGACAGTGTGTTTTTTAACTATAGGCTACGTTCACGCCCAGAGGAGGTTTGTGAAAGCACTTCTGCCTGGTCTTGAAGCCTTCCCCACACAGAACAGATCATGTACTGTCTAAAAACTGAAAGAATTTTATGAGATTGACGGCCTACCGTCTACCTGATGGAAAGCCAATCGGCCTGGCTGGATAACTAATTTAAGGATTGGAAATTTGGGAATAAGGGCAATTCATGTCTTAATGACGAAAGCGTGGGAAAAGGCTTTGCCTCCGGTGATCTCACTCATACAGCGAAAGCGTTTTTATGCCAGTTTCCTGTGAGGCCGTTGTATCACTCCGGTTGTTGCTAAAACTTGGTTTACCAATCTTGATAATTTGATAATTCTCTAAATATAGGTATGTATCAAGTCTGAAAAGATTGTTACATTTCGGACTTAGATACATGTTGGTCCTCTTAGATGTATAAAGTAATTTTGATACGCTTAACTTCAAAATTTTTCTCCTACTTCAGGTACTTGACGCGAATAACTGCGATTACGAGCAGCGCGAGCGGTTCCTGTTACTTTGCGTGCACGGGGATCCGAACGCAGACTCTCTCGTGCAGTGGGAGATCGAGGTTTGCAAGCTGCCGCGACTCTCGCTCAACGGAGTGCGCTTCAAGCGGATATCCGGTGAGCTAACAGGCAGTGACGGAGAATATAGTTATTTTTGTGATGTTTATGTGGATCAACTAATATTGTATTTGTTTGTCCTCAAGGCACCAGCATCGGCTTCAAGAACATTGCGTCTAAGATCGCAAACGAGCTCAAGCTGTGACTGCCCGCGAACCCCCCCCGGCGGCGGCGGCGGCGGCGGGCCGCGACGCCCCCGTCCCCCGCGTCCCCGCAGTCGCCCGCGTCGCCGGCGCGCTCGTCGTCGTCGCGCGACACGCCGCCGCCTCCGCCGCCGCCGCCGCCGCGCTCGGACTCGCTGCGGCTGTCGGCCGAGGACATGGTGCTGGTGGCCAACGGCGGCGCGCGGACGGCGTCGGGCGCGCTGGCGCACTTCCTGGCCGCCTACACGCCCGCCGAGCTGGCGCTGGCGCGGTCCGACTACCTGCGCGCGCCGCCGTCGCCCGCGCGCCCGCCGCCCGGCGCGCCGCGCTCGGCGCTGTCGCTGCGCGCCGCCAGCGACCTGCGCCCGCCGCCCGCCCACTACTCGCTGCGCCGCCAGGGCCGCGCCCGCTCGCCCCCCTCCCCCCCTAACTTCGACCTCAGCTGCGACTGTCTGCCCGTCGACCCCATCCCGCCGCCGGAGCTCTTCGACTTCTAGACCGACTCGCTTTCCTTCGAATTTTGTAAAAATTAACTGGCGCCACCGTCGCTAATGGCACGAGCCGACCAGCCCGACCTCGTAACGCTACGAATGACGCGTTCGACAATCATCTACTTGTAATTGTTATTCCTCGTCGAATCGTCATTCGCAACTGTATACAACTGCGGGTGAGCTGGTCCGTTTTTATGACATTGCAGAACAGAAGCTGAACTGTTCTACAGAAGATGTGGAAGTAATGCAATGGTCGCCCGAGTACGCGACATACAGGTCGTGGCGTGAGCGCGCGTGGCGCCGCCTGACTCGAATTTGTATTATTATTCGATTTGTATCAAAGTGTCTGAGTATGACAGTAGCGTGGCGTGGCGTGACGTGACGTGACGTGACGTGGCGTGGCGTGACGCGGAGCGGGACAATATGTGCCAAGTGATCAGCATAGCGCGTCGCCGAGGAATGATCTACATACTTAGTATACACTGCTCTCAGTTAGCGCATCTTTGTATAAATAATTTTACTCGTGTCATGAATTTTATTATTACATGATTGTTTTTTCTGTAGATAAGTCGGCCGTCTGTCCGTGTGTGCTGCGCACTTTTTATTTAATTTATATTTGGAACTTTGTTTTATGAAATCGTGTTTTTTTAAAAGACATTATTTAATACCGTGGGCCGCACACCCGGCCAGGCGGCGTCATTGTGCTATCGCTTATATACTATTACATTATGTATTTTAATCGTTGTAATAATGTACAAAGTGAGTTTGAGCTCAACAGATACAATCTAGCTTAGTGTTAATTATATTTTTTTTTCATTTTCCAATATAACAAAATATAAATACAAAATATGGCTGTCTCTGAATAGCGATAAAATGTTTATATGTCATTGTAAGGGTCGTGCGGCCGTAGTGCGGTGGCGGTACTGTGGCGGTACTGAGGCGGTACTGTAGCGGTACTGTAGCGGTACTGTAGCGGTACTATGGCGGCACGAGGGCGCGGCCGCCGTGGCCTCTCTTTCTAATTACAAGGCTGAATTAGAAAGTGTCAAAGAGTGTGGGAGCGCGTAGATGTCACTTAAATCGTTAGGCGTGTTCGTTGTCTCGTCACCCAAGTATTACGGACGTGTAGTTGTAGCAATAATCGTTGAGTACGCTCGTCTCTCCGTGCCAGCCTTCGATATTGTGATTCACTAAACCCTTGTTTTCGATTCGTGTGAAGCTTTTGTTTGATCATTTAGACTGTGTGTGGACTGCATTCGTTAGGTGGTACTGTTGCAATGAAGTATGTCTGTCTGTCTGTCTGTCTGTGCGCCCGGCGGCCGCGGCTCACTTTTCTAATATATAATTAAGTGTAGTGTTATATCTTTTACATGGAATCACAAATTCTGACGTGTCGGCGGCGACTGACGTGTTGTCTAAGCCAAATTGTTGAATGTTGGCGCCATGATGATACTTCGCTATATTATTGTTATTTAACTTACTTCAAATACAGTAGAAATTTATTTTGCTCAAATACAAATTGTGTCCTGTTATATATAGTGAGGTCGTATACAAATCATAAGACCCAATATACAAAATATGTAACAAATACAAAGTTTCAAATGCAATCAAGTGATGTTTTTGTAACGCTTTTATTTATTGTAGTAGTGAACGGTAGAAGTTAATAAAATACAAAATGAACAGGTTACTTTAAATTAATGTTTTAAAAAAGTAATTGTTAATAATAACTCGGTATGTTTATATCGGGAGTAAGAATCATGAAATGCATATTTTTTATTTTTACGAAATAATTCAATAGTGTTTGTGAGTAGGACGATGCGATCAGTTCTCCCGAAATACATAATACTATTTTAAATGTAGTTATATATTTATATATATATGAGCTTTGTTTTGTAATAATTTAGTGTAGTACATTTTGCCTGCGAGGTGGACGTGTCGAAGGATTTGTGAGATATTCAAAATGAAAAATAAATTTTATTTTTAATTCCAAATGCTTGTTTGTTTTTAAGACCTTTTCTCCTCATATTTGTCTAGCTTATGAAATAAACTAGCTTCTGCCCACGCCTTCGCCCGCGTGGTATGTTGATAAAAACTAGCCCATTTCCTATTCCGGAGTGTATCCTATGTCTGTGCCAAATTTCATCCAGATCCAGCCTTATTGGCGCGATTGAGTAACAAACATCCAAACAACGTAACTTTCGCAATTATGAGATTAGTAAGATATACTATTTGGTATAAAATAATAACGTCATGACTCATGACTTGTTGCTTTTTTCTTACCTACTCACCAAAGAGTACAGACATTGTAGGAGCCCTAACGGGACTTTATAAATAAAGCTGGTGGACTGTATAACATAGGCTTTAATGCCATTAAATTAACAATGGTCTACACGATGAAAACAAGTACGTGGTCGTGGTCAAGCGCGTCGCAGAGAGAAGTTAATGGAGCGCGGCCGCGGGCTCGCCAGCCGGGGCTCCCCCCGCCCCGGCCTCCGCAGCACTCCCTTCGGTCGCCATCGCGGTTGCTCGATGAGGTGCGCCGACACATAATATATAAGTAACTAAGATTGACCATACAGCCAGTCCAAATATTACTGCTGAGACTACAAAGCCAAGGTACTCTGTATATGATTTATCATATTCAATGCGTTTCAACCACTTTGGGCTATAAGCATTACCTATATGCGCGGAAAAGCAGAACACAGATCCGGTCATTCAAGGCGGTCTCCGAGTGGGGTGTCGTCAACTTTATTAAGTTTAATGAAGAAAAAACTCAGGCATGTCTGTTCTGCGCGCGCCTCAAAGTGCCAATAGACCACCACAGACGGGGCCCTAAAGGGCTGATGTTCAGCCGGAGTTGCGGGGTAAGCGCAATGAGGCACCGTGACCTCGGCCCAGAGCAGGAGAAGGAACAGGGGGGTTTTTTAGTCAGTAAGAGTCTGACACTCCCTCCCGCCCGGCCCTGGGCGGGAGAAGTTATTTGATGATTTTCCCCTCACAAAAAAAGGCAGGTCTTTTCTCCGCAAAACGGAGGTGCTGAACTGCCTCTGGCTTCTAATTTTCGAAATGTGACCGTTCCGGTGACTGATCTTCTTGAGCGTCTTGGCGTAACTCTGACTAGACCGAGGAAATATAATGAATACTGAATACAATCACAGAAAACCAGCGGGCAGCAACTACAGCGTTGTGTTTCGCCGAGTGACTGAGGTTACCAGAGGCCCAATCCTTGTCCTCCTCTAATTCCTAAATCTCTAAATCCCTAATCCCCAAAAGTTCGGTAACGCACTCTTAACTACAAAGTCAAAAAATAATTTATTTCAATTAGAACCTTACAGGCACTTTTGAACGTGAAACAAAATTTTGAAGATATAGTGTCAGTCTGTCGGTCAGTCCATTTAGTGAAGCTATATGCTCGTTCCAAAGTGTAGATTCCGATGGAGAAGAACGAGCAAGAAACTCCATGGTTACTCTTTTTAAATCAGTTTCACATACAGATTCCTTATACAAACAGTTGGTTCAATTATGTGAGAACAGTGTAACGCGTGTATATAGAGAAACATAAAAAGAAAATAACCTTAAGGACAATAGACAGTCTGGAGCTGACCAGTCCCAACTGACGGCGCCCGCTCACGAACATGACACGTACACTAGCATCGCCCGACTCAACCGTGTTATAGGGAATTGAGCGATCCAGGCAGCGCCCGTGCCACCGCCATTGTGACCTTTGAGTGAGCATGACAACTCCAAACTGACATAAGGACCGATATTCTGCTAGTCTAACCAATTGTAATAGGTTACAGGGCACTCACATTTACAAATTTATTAAGTTTGACAATATACTTATTGCAATTTTACTAAAATTCAGAAGTCCTGTTACTTCACGTCAGTTGTTGCGAGTGTCCATTGTCGACGCTGATTGCTTACCATCAGATAATGAGACGGCTTGTTTGCCGACCTATCACATAGAAAATACATAGAGTCAAAGGCTACAAATATCTGGTAGGAGGTTGAGCGTCTTGTCGAGGGCGAGGCAGTACTTCACACTGGAATAACTGCTTAACTTATACCAAGTGCAAGTTCGCTCCTGTATACCTACTGTTCTCACGGCTCGGCTCGGCTAAACACCAGCTAGATACTATTTTATTTTATTTATTTTAAAGAAAACTTACATCAGTACAATAATTAACAGCATGTTGGTAATGACAGTTGCTAATAACAAGCTTCCACATTGGGTCTCAATTCTAGCGGCAAGAAATGATACCGCCTGCCGCGATGTTCATAATTAGCCGATATTTGCTTCGTTTTATAATCCAAGTATTGCAAGAATTTTCTTTGAACCGCCTCTATGCGTGACTTGTAGACCTCAGATTGAGGGTTCCACACCTGAGAAGCATATTCAAGGTGGATACACAAGAACACATTGAGAGGCGTGCCAAGTGGTTCAACGACGATGCGTGCGCTAGTGGACGCTCGACTTCAAAGCCTTGAACACAGGCGAAAAGTTGCAAGCTTATTATCGCATACATTTCGGAGTATGTTCGGGGGAACTATTTACACACCTTAATTTCCTCCTAGTCCTTTACACTATCGAACCGAAAGATAATCAGAAAAACATCATCGCTTTATGGTGGATATCCCGCCTAGATGCACGAAGCGGTTTGCCTCCAGTTTCATAATTAAATTTATAAACCGCTGAAGAGCGGAATTCCTTGCATGAGTCTGTTTCCCGATAGGTATACCCTGGGTGTCTTCAAGCCCCGAGTGAATAGGTTACTTATGGGTAGGCGTGCTCCATCGTAGGTCGCATCATCGCTTATAGTCGCTTATAGTAGGGCGTGATAGTGGTCAAATGCCTGATTATTACTATTACGATAGTCTGGCATTTCCATTACTATTACGATAGTGAGGCATTTGACCACTTTGTAAAATAAGAAACCACCGTTTCGTAAAATAAGAAAAAATGGGGTTCTTCAATGATCTGATGAATAGAATTTACCGAATTTTTAACAGAGAGATTTCTATTTCTTTATAAAGATACAAAAATTACGAGAGTATTTACGATGACTGCACAGTTTGTGCGGTAGCAAAACCCCTTTGTGTGAACCACAAATTGTTGTTTCAGATGTGGACAACATGTGTACATATCTGAATTTGTGTGTTTGGAAACGCATCCTCGACGCAGGAAAAATAAACAATCCTACTGAGGGTAACATTAAAAAAGAAACTAAATTTTTGTGTAAGGGGAAAATCTGAAGTGCAATGTCACGCCTGGGATGAGCGATGAGTGATGGGCGAGAGGGAGTGTCAGACTCTTACAGATCTACAAGTCTACATTACTACATTACTAGCGAAGTTGAACTAGGTTAGAAGGACACGATTGTGCAGAGAGGCACTTTGGGTTACCTCGTCAAAGTTCGCCGCACGTCGGGCGACTTCCATTTTTCTCGAAGTTGCGGCCGAGTTAAGAGGGCCGAAATTGAATGAGTATGTACACTCGCACTACGTATAGACCAATATAATATATTTATAACTAGCTACTCTCTCGCGGTTTCACCCGCTGCTTGGCTCCATTTAAGCGTAGCGTGATGTTTTATAGCGTAGGTAGCACTCAAGAACATTGAAGCTATCAGTGAAAGAATTTTGGCAATCCGACCAGTGGTTCCAAAGATTACCCCCTACATACAAACATTTGTAATAATAACCCCCTAAATACAAAATCATAATATAGATGAGATAATTATAAAAAATTATAATATAGATGAGATAGAATGGCAACTGACGTGTTTTTTTAATTTAGTTAACAAGCAAAGCCTCATCATCTCACCATGGTTAGCTTACCAAAAAACTTCGCCAGAAGTGAAGAAAAGCCATTTATAAGTAAAACAATCAAATACTTAGATAAATAAAACAATCTTTTTTTATAAACACTGTTTTATTTTTGAAATAATCAACATTCCTATTTCGTAATATTTACATTGATCTTACTTAAATACTAGAATACAATAAATAACTTCGACAAAGAATATAACGGTACTCATTAGGTACAGTTCTAATCAAGTTTTTACAAGTAAACAATATGTTTTTCATAAAAATGCGAGAAACGGACATTTAAAAAAGAAGAAAGCTTCTCAATCGGACCGTATTGGACCGTTCATAATCTCATAAAGTATTTATATCGACTTAAAATGTTACCTTATTGGTAAATGAATTACCAAAAACGCATTCATAAGAAAAAGTAAAACCTAAAATAGTATGCTACTAAAATTATGACACACATTTATCTAAAGAAATACTGTAAACATTTAATAAACATTCCTAACAAATAAATTAGATCTTTTTACAAAAAGTAACCTTAAAGTTTATATAAGTATATTCTAGAATTACTTAAAGCTAAAATTTGCATTTTACCATGCGATTAATTCGTATTATCGTCAATTTGTTTCATACCTACATACCACTCTCCTCACTTGGGAATAAAACAATCATCCAATTTTCGCTGTGTTATGAGCCATGAGTAACAATGGACTAACTTGTTTGAAAAAAATGTGTGATAGCGCCTACCACAGACCACAGATAAATTACAAAACATGGCGGGCTATCAAGTTTTTTTTTATATCACGGCAATAGACCTTTTGGCATCATTCTCTGCGAGCCTTTAAGTAATTAAAAATTCAATTTTGGAACAATTTGAGCCTCAATATTTTTTTAGTAGGTATCATTCTCACAATATAACTATATCACTTTTGTTTTATGATTCCTTATGAATGGGCATACCATCTAAGTCGACCTCAGTGCTTGGTATTAAGGGAGGCCTAAACCCTCCGTATTCAATCCTTAAGTTACTCACTCTTGGTTCCCTATCCGTCCTCCTCATTTTGACTTCAACGACATAATTCTTATTATTCTGCCACCAATCATCTTGATTTTGCGTTGGTACTGGGCCATAGTACTGATTCGATTTGCTTTGCCCATTTGTTAAATAGGATATGTAGCTGGTTAATGGATTGGGTTTCTTTTCTTCTAATTTATTGCCTGAAGTGTTGTTTATATATTGGTAAGAGGATGCGTATTGGTTGCCCCATTGAACTGACTCGACGGGCTGTCTCTGTCTCTCTTTCAAAAGCTGGTAGTATTGAGCTATAAATATTTGCTGTTGGTTAGGATTCTTCTTATTTCTGTCATTTATATTGTTCTGGGCTTGTGCTGTTTGGACATTGTTCCTCGACTCACTACCCTGGTTGTTGTATCCATATCGGTAAACGGGGATTGGTACGTGAACCGGTTTTTCAACGATTTTTTCAACCGGATAAGGCACTTTAACTTCATACGGGACTTGGACAGGGTAAGGAACTTTCTTTTCTACAATTTTTTCGACTGGATACGGCACTTTTTTCTCGACTGGATAAGGTTTATCTATATACTTCGTTACCACAACCGGTTTTTCAACAATTTTCTCGACGACTTTTTCAACTGGGTAGGGAACTTGGACTGGCACTTTCTTTTCTACTAATCTGTCTACGTGGACCGGGTAAGGAACTTTTTTCTCGACTATTCTTTCGACCGGGTAAGGTTGGGGAACATGTACTGGTACGGGAACCGGTTGAGGCACAGGCACTTGAATATGTATCGGCTTGTCAACATATTTGGTTATTGTAACCGGTTTTTCAACAATCTTTTCAACTGGTACTGGGATTCTTTTCTCAACCGGGTATGGGACAGGAACTCTGGTTTCGTAATGAACTGGGTAAGGAACACGTTTCTCGACGGCGTAAGGTACGGGAACTTCTTTATTAACTATTCTTTCAACCGGTTTCTCGACTTCCACTGGAACTGGTACGGGTCTATCAACCGGAAATGGGTACAATATTTTGTGTTCAATCGGTACTTGAATTTCATAGGGAATGCCAACGGGAGTGGGAATAGGAACCGGGTGAAGTATCTGCTTCTCAACCACCTTCTCTACTGGGTAGGGAATATGAATAGGACGATCTACATACACCTTTTGTTCCACAGGATAAGGAACTTTAACTTCAACGGGATAAGGTCTAGGAACCTCAACTGGGTACGGTTTATCCACATATTTAGTTACCTCGACTGGTTTTTCAACGATTTTCTCAACAGGAACTTCTACAGGTACAGGTCTGTCCACTGGTACTTTGATTTCAACGCGCTGTGGGTACGGAACCTTCTTTTCAATAAATCTGTCTACGAACTTAGTTATTGGCACCTCTTTTTCTATAATAATGGGTTGGATTATCTGTGGATTGTTATTACCATAGTCATAATATTGATACTGTTCACTTCTTGGCGTGTTAGCGTCCTCTTCATTAGGTCTGACTTCAACTTGGGATTGTATATTTTCACTCGGTTCCAAAGGTTCTTTCTGTTCTTCATCTTTTTCATTTTTCTCTTGACTATTATCTTTCGTCGCTCCGTATCTATAAAGTAACTTATTCATCTGTTCTTGTATCTTTTTTGACGATTTTAAAGCATCAACGTATGTGTTATACAAATTCTTCGCTACATCTAAAGATCCCTTATTATTGCTTCGTCCTTCATCAAAATCTACGTATTCATGAACTTCTACATCATTAATGTGAGTTATTTCAACTGGAATAGATTCCTGTATTTCCACGATAGTCTTTTCTTTCGGTGGGCTCTGTACTGTGTCTGATACTAATTCACTGTCTGAAGCCTCATGATCATCTATAGTGTTAAACGATTCTGTGTCGTTAGCGTTCAATAATCTTAGAGCTACAGTGATTGGTGCAAGATAGTTTTGATTCACTGGTCTTGGAGTAACATTAACTAGCCTATTGCCTTCGCCTTTGCTGTCATCTGTGTAAGTTTCTCCAGAATTATCACTGACTCCTACTATTTGGTATCCATTTTCCATGTAGGGAACCATTGTTGATACAAGATTATCGACAATCTGGTCTTTGAAGTTGTTATAAGAATTATCTTGCACAACAATAGGAGTTGCGAAATCATATTGATTAGAATTGGAATGTAAGAAGTTTTCTTTCTTTTGGTCGTCTTCTAAATGTTCTACGTCGCTTTTAACAATATTCCCGATTTTGGCTTTAACAGTAATATGTTTGGAATTACTATCTTGCGCTTTGTGATCATTATTTTTGACATAAAACCTTGAGCGAGGTTTTATTATGTCGTCTGATTGGTCATTCACATGTTTTTCTGCTGCGTGATTGATTATTAACAAATCTTCATTAGAAATGAGGTCCTGGGTAGAGGCTACAAGTTTATCGATGCCAACTTGTGTTGCATTTTCAGTGGGCGCTGTGGATGGAGTTTCAGCGGTGGTGTAATAATATCTTTCACTGCGGGCATTATCACGTGGAATTTCAACCCTGAACTTAACAGCGCCTCTGTAATATGTACCAGGAGCACTTGTAGCAGCAAAATTATTGATATCATGAATATCGTAGGAAGGAACTTCAGCGAACAGCTGTTTAGATTTTTCCAAATCATTTTGCAACTCATTGGAAGTTTCTTCATTAGAACAATTGTGGTTTTTGAAGACTTGTACGACTTGGGGGTGATACTCGTTGGGGTCCTCTTTCGTAAGAGGGTTCGAGTGGTCCCTTTGGGGCTCGTTGTACTGCAGTTGGTTGTGACTGTAGTTTGGGGTGGGGAGCACTGGGTGGTACTGCTGCTGGAGTAGGTAGATGTCGACTGGTTGTTGGTTGATCGCTGGTGGCGCTGGCACTTGGGTTACATTCTGTCTTTGCTTGAAGATATTTTGTGCCTGTAATCAAAGATGTGGATTTAGTAAATTGTGAAATGATTAATAATTGTATAATTTATTTTGTTGCATTATTTATTATCTTAGCAGTCGATGGAATTTAAAGTAAAACAGAATCTACCCTTTCGTCTTGTGTTATTGAAGAACTAATAATTAATAAGAGTCCCTTTATGGCTTAAAACTAATAGGTAGTGGTTTTCTCAATTTACTTTTCAATCGTGTAATTCGATACACATTAGAAGAACAATATTTACGCGTTCGCCTAGGATTTGACTTTTTTTTAAACGTTGCTCCACATTACGATTTTCTCCTGTGTCGTGGGTGCTGTTACAAACATACAATTTCACATACACATGACACCCAGACCCGGAAAAACAATTTGTGGATCACACAAAGAGTTGTTCCGTGCGGGAATCGAACCCGCGACACGTTGCACGGCAGCCAGTTGCCCAGCCGCCGCACCAACCGTGCAATCGAATTATGTAAGTTATTTTCAATAAATTTTGGATGTCTCATAATTTTTACCTAGTTGCTATAAAAAAAACCCTTTCGGCTATTTCTCAAAAGAGTTGACCGAGCTTAAAATTGTACCAGGTACCTATTCTGTCGTAAGGTTAGTCAAAATTTGTGAAATTATCACGAATTTCAACAATTTCTATACAACTTGAGGTAAACTCAATCATTAATAATCCTGAAATATGTATCCATACTTGATTGTCTAGTCTTAAGGAAATCGAAAGTACAAGCAACAAAAACTACGTTGAACTAGTTTACAGTCTTGTGTGTGTATATTACATATCGCACTTTCGATTTTTTTTTGCACAGTATAAATATTAGCTAAGCCTATTGAAAGCTGGTTCCGTTATTCTAGATGCATTTAGCTTTACTTTGTTACTTCAGTATTAATGTTTCTTACTAGACTTTTTCTATGTATTTTTACTAAGGTCGATAAAACAAAATGTATTGTACAGAATACGGTAGTTTCCAACTAGTACTATAGATACTATAGGTACTTATTCTATGAAATTTGTATAAAACACTGAGTTATGACGTCATAGTATTTTTGCGTCAAATAGCTTACTTATTTCTTAAAAATTTGCAAAAACATATCTAAAATTTAGTGTATCGATCAATCGATGAATAAAAGTTTAGTTATTTTTCAATATTATATTGTATTTAAACGTGGATTTATTTTATTTTTGACCTAGGAACCTACCCAATTATGGTTACGAGGTTACTGGAGGCCCAATCCTTCCTGTAACCCCAATCCCTAAATTTTCGAAATCCTAATCTCCGCGCGACGCTGGCTGCACGTAGCGTTAACTAGCGTTGTCGTTGTTTACAATCAGGTAATCAGTCTACTCGTTTGGCGACCTACCTCATAAAAAAAGTATTATAAAAATGAAACAGACCTGCTGGCTTAAATCTACAGCTTGCTGTCCGGCCGCTACGTTAGTGTTTACAGTGGCTGCAGTCTGGTATCCGCCGCCATTTGGTCCATACCTCACTTGCTGCTCAGACTGGAAACAAAAGAACATTGACATGACACATGACAAATTATTAAATACATAGTAAAATTGCCCCTTCATATCTAAGGAGTGATAAGCAGTGGTGCAATGACACTCTCCCATAGTCACACGAATACGGCGGCTCGACCGGAGTAATACCACGCTGTGTGGTTGACAGAAGCCCAATCTATTCCCTCTCCCTTTCCGATCCCAAATCCCCAATCTTAACCACCTGGCCACCGAAAGGTTGGCAACGCCCTCGTACTCCTCAGGTGTTGTGGGTAGGTATATTTGACTGCACGGTTGGTGCGGTGGCTGGGCAACTGGCTGCCGTGCAACGTGTCGCGGGTTCGATTCCCGCACGGAACAACTCTTTGTGTGATCCACAAATTGTTGTTCCGGGTCTGGGTGTCTTGTGTATGTGAAATTGTATGTTTATAACAGCACCCACGACACAGGAGAAAATCCTAATGTGGGGCAACGTTTTTTAAAAAGAAACAAAAACAAACAAACAGGTATCCTATGTATCCATGTGAGGCGCAAGTTGATTACCATCAGGTAATCCGACTTTTTTATAGAATGTCGACAAACGAGCAGGCAATCTGTGCCATCCATTGACACTCGCAACATTAGGATACGTGCGAAGACGGCCTTTTGTGGGTTATTACGGATTTGGGGTGAGGCAGAAGGGCGGGGTGTCCAAAAAACAAAGCAAAGCAAAAAAAAAACTCATAATAAAAAGGTGTAGATAGGTTACAAGCGCTCAGCAAGTGATACATTAAAATGTTTGTCTCTTTTTCACTCGCGATTATTGAATCATGCCATCCCACTTTAACGTGTATCATACGATTTATTCATGTGTGCATAAGTGTGCCGTTTTTGAAAATCGAATATTGTTTATGTAACCTATCTATACCATTTTACTTATAATATCATTGTCTATGAGTATATTACCTGTGGTAATTTGACGTAATAATGACCAATGGTAGAAGCCTGGCCCAGCGGTGACAGCTGCCAGCCCCAACCGAACGCAGCGCCATCTTGTGTCACTTGCTGAAAACAATACAAAAACAATATGTAAGTAAATAAAAACCAGCTAAATGCTACTAGATATTATTTGAGGGAAATTTAAACTAAATAGTTTCCACTCCCCTCGGTAAATTTAATACAGGAGACAGAATGACTTAAGCCTTAAATTAACAAAAGAGACTGTACAACTGGGAGAAGCCCAGTCACCTAAAATATGTTCTGCATTCCACAAGGTCCATTTAATAAACTACACCTGATGAGACATCCAAATTTTATCTGGGACAGGATATGTTTTTTACTTGTTTAACGCACTCATGTAAGAAAAGTCGATAAAAAATTGGAAAAATGCGTACAGCATATAATTCAGCTCAAAACAATTATGTATATCCACCCCTCCTCAAACTCCAACTTATATAAGTTAAGAACACACTTAAAAACAATTACTAAACCGAATACAATACAAAATCAATTCCACATCAAACAATACAATACAATTTAAAGAACAACAATTAATAATAAAATAATAACAACCTACATGATCCACTTCCGTTCGTATGAACCAGTGAATTGAACCGGATATGACGTAATTGCGTAATGGCGCCTGACATAACGGAAGAAAGTTAGTCATAATAGGTATAATTAATCGTTAAACCTTCGGTTAGAATTAGGTGTTAACCGCGGGCGGTTAACCGTTTAACTTGGGTATAAATCAGTTACACATTTCTTGTGCAATAACGCGTTTTTAACTGTTATGGTTTAGAAGTTGTAATCTTTAAATTGTTATTATGTAGTTCCCTAGCTTTTAATGTCAAGTTTGAGCTTTTTATTTAGCCAAAGGAAGAAGCCGGAATTATAAATATTGTAAGCCTAGAGTCTGACACTGCCAATAGCCTCCCTATCGCAACACAGGGCGAGAGAATTTACTTGATAATAATTAATTCACCTTTCCTTTTTAAAGGGGGGTTAAGGAAAGGTGAATTATTGTTTTGTTTTTCGGGTATAATTATTCAAACGTGGCATAGTATGTGGTGACAAGTTCAAATTATTGTTAAAATTTCTAATTTCTTTAATTTTACAATTCAGCAACCCTTCCGATTAGGATCATTAATCTGATCGGAAGAGTAAAGGATAATTATAAATGTAAAGGATAACCTTTACATTTATATCAACCTTTACATTTATAATAAAAAAGGATAACCTTTACATTTATAATTATCATTGATCTGATTAAAAAAAAATTTACCCACCACTTAACTGTATGTATAAGAATATATTAATTGGCATGAATTACAGGTATGTAAGTATTACAGAAATGTGTGTTGTATTACAAAAATGGGTTCGCCTACATTACAACATTTACAAATAAATAAATAAATTAGAATTTTTTTTAAGTTACTTATCACAATAAAATTAAGGATGTTCGCCGAATTGAATAAAAAGAAGACCAGCTTAAATATAGAACACTTGCTTACTAAAATTAAATAAGACAGCTGACGAAATAAATAAATATAAACTTTCCACAAACCGAAACATAACCCTAACAATTCCTTGCCACATCAGGAAATGGAATCATCAAGCGTGACAGTCCTAGCCACAATTAGGACCACAATTAGATAGACAGTCTAATGATGAAATAAAAAAATAACAGCACAAACAAATCAAAAACACAATTTAAAATAATAGTGAAACGTATAAATATTCTAGTTAAAGTTAACTGTAAAGAATTAATACATATATGTTCCTAATAAAAACGCGAAGGTAAAGCCACTTTCGTTTGGTGTGGTTTTTTCCAGTCCGTCCACTTTCGAGCCAGCTCGAGGCGTCCACACATGGGCATGGCTCGGGAATGCTCTTCCGTGGTCGTATTCACTTGGTTACATAGAAAAGTATGCTGGTTGCACTATAAGGAAGGAGCGAATTCATTGGGAATTTGCAATCATATCTAAGCAACTTATTTCGCGTCAAATTTACTGATTGGTTCACTGACGTGTTTTAAATTTTTATGTCGGCTTAACCAAAAAATTTAAATGCATTTGTAAATCTAAACTAATATTATAAATGCGAAAGTAACTCTGTCTGTCTGTCTTTTCTTTACGCCTAAACTACTGAACCGATTTCTGTGTAATTTGGTACAGACATAGTTTGGAACTCGAGAAAGGACATTGGATAGTTTTTATGCCAAAAATCTGCAGGAAGTCAGTGAAAATGTTATCCGTGACGGGCAATGTAATTGTAATAAGTGTGTATTTACATGCGAGGTACAATTTTAGTCTCCAAATTGTTATTTACTAAGTATTTTGGGAAATTTGAAAACAGATTAAGAATCAAACACGACAAGGCGGAGTGTCCTTTCCATCTAGTTATTCAATTAAAAACAAACAAAAGACTATATCTACATTATTTTTCAGTAATAGAATGGCAAACGAGCACGCGGATTATCTGATGGTAAGCAATCGTGGTGCGCTATGGACATCGGCAACACCACAGGAGCTACAAGTGCTTAGCTGACCTTTTGGAAATAATGGGTTTTGGAGGGACTGGGCATCCAGTAACCTCACTATTACTCTTTTGATCCGCCTCCGTGCCAAAGCATGGGTGAGACGGAGTGTAAGCCTGTTACTGACTAAAAGCACCCCAGTTCCTCCTCCTGCTCCAGGCTCTGGCCTCGATACATTATCGCGCTGTCCTTACAATACGGTAGTTTCCAACTAGGCAAATTCGATACTTTTATCCAAATGTCAAAAACGATACTTATCTATGAAATTTGAAATGAAGAACTGAGGTATGACGTCATAGTTTTATTGCGTCAAATAGTTTACTTTACCTTAAAAAATATCTAAAATTCAGTGTATCGATCGATCGATGAATAAAAGTATAGTTATTTTTCAATATTTTATTGTTGGGCAACGTCGAATAAATTTTAAAAACCCAGTTGTCGAAGAATATTTCTTCCACACTCTTGTATAATAAATATACTCGAAGGAAAACCCTATCAAATAACAGCGGTATCGGAATATCGCAATACAATCTCATCTTACTTCTACCGCATTGCATCCTACAGCATTATGTAAAAATTAATACCTCTACCACACTGTCGTAACAGGTCATTCAGTATCAAATACTTGATATTTTAATATCAATAATACCAATACTCGGTACTATAAAGTTTACGTAACGCATACCACGAACAAGTGAAGTATCGGTGTCTGCAATATGAGTAATTGAATGGCATTTATGAGTATTTATATTGAGGGAAATATTGTGAGATGTACCGTTATGAAATATCAATTCAATACTCCTTCCCCGATCCCCAATTTTCCTATCTCCAAAACGATGGTAACGCACTTGTCCGATTTGCGTTGGCCATTGCTTTAAAAACAACTAAAATGATTTAACAGTAGTTCTTAATAAAATCTATATCTATAAGATACTAGTGTTGGAGAGCCATGCTAAGTGTGGGAGAGCCATGCTTCCACGGCCTCACAGAAAACCGGCGTGAAACAACCACAGCGTTGTGTTTCGCCGTGTGAGTGAGGTAACCGGAGGCCCAATCCTTCCCTCCCCCAATCCCTCCTTAATCCCTAAATCTCCAAATCTTTAATCACTAAAAGATGTTTTCCTTCACCGTTTGTCAGTGATGTCACAGAAATGTTGTTAGAAAGTATATATAGGTATACTTAACTCGGAAAAAGTCACATTAGTACTTGCCAGATTTCGAACCCGCTGCTCCATGCATGAGAAGCGGGCGCTTAACATCCACGCCTTAACCACAACTACACATAAATAAATTCAAACATTTTGTAACGACTTCCCCATATACTATGTAACCAATTACATATTGATGGATGGCTGGAAGTGGTGTAGTCATGATGGCTCAATGGCGCGACGGTTCATTGGCTTAAACATTATGAACTTGTTACCGCTTCCTAAGTTTACTGATTTATTGACTGGTTCGGACCTACATAAAAAACGAACCAGTCAATAAATCAGTTAATTTAGGAATTAGTGATATTGATGAGAACTTTGTACCTATATAGATTATGTATAATGAAGGCCTGCAGTATACCTGATGATGGAGGTCATTGACATTTGAGGGAATTCCTCAACGATTTACGGCACTGAAAGCTGACTAAATCAGGATTGCCATTACCGTGATTTTCGGTCTCAAGTAGCCGTCGTCTTCTCTTTTGATAAGCATCCTAGCTTTCTCTGCCTATCACTTAAAATGGTGAAATAAAATAATTTTTAACAAAAAAAAACCGACTTCAAAACGTAAACTAAAAAGTAAAAAATAAATTTACTTTGTTTAAAGTAATACATATTTTCATTTAGTTAAATATAAAATAATATTTAATAACTATTTTATGATTTTGAAGTCGGTGCCAAGTAAATACTACATACCAAACAATAAGAGTATTAGAAAAATATATTGAATACTACTAATCATCAAACTAGCAAGAGGTGTGTAGGTAATATCTTTACACTATTATTCTTTTACTTGGCACCGACTTTAAGATTATAAAATAGTTATTAAATATTATTTTATATTTAACTAAATGAAAATATGTATTACTTTAAACAAAGTAAATTTATTTTTTACTTTTTAGTGTACGTTTTGAAGTCGGTTTTTTTTTGTTAAAAATTATAGTGTTTAGACCTCACTCAAAAGGCGAACCTTTATTCCACGCCAGTTTTCTTTGAGAACGTGGTATCACTCCAGTCGTGCTGAAGCAAAGCTCTTTATATTTAAAACTTTATTACAAGTATATTTAGTTTAGTTATATAAACATGTTAATATCATTAAGTTAATATTTTATTACACTTTTACATAAACGTACTTGTAATATTTCGACCTTTTACTTCGGTAATATATAGATATGTATAGTGTTTATATATCAACAACATATTGAACACATTACACAACGTATGGCCGAGCTAAACAGCTGCCTACTTCCGGCAGTGAAAGGCTTCGATCCAAGATGGCTGTTTCCTGTTGGGACCTTAATAAAATGGGAGATCAAAAC